GGAGCCAAAAGGCCAACTGTAGTATATGCTAAAACTTGCCTGAACAAGAGAGAGGAAGCTTTGTGAGATGACGCAAGTGTCCGAACCGGACTGACGCAACCAAAACGCTCTTATTAGCTCATCTTCGCTTTTGTTGTTTTCTTCGTTGGGTTCTTTTTTTTTTGGAGGAATATAGATCAAGAAAAAGGTTGTACAGTATAAAATGTGATTTAGAATTTTATTTCTTTTTATTTTGCTAAAAATAAATGAGTATCCTTTTGTTTTTTTTTTTTATAAAACATATTCTCTGCATGATGCCAAAATTGCTGATGGAACTCCAATCGAGAAACCCAAGTAGTATTTTTTTCTTTTTCTTTTTTCTTGGATTATTTAAAATCACTTTGGAATCTACTTTCGTTAATGTCAAAATGAAAGTTTAGAACAAACGAAACACTAATGCTTACATACATATTCTAATTAAGAAAAAAAACACAGACAAATATGAAAGTGATTGAATCTTGGGGAGAGGGGAATAAGAAGGGCATCCACCACCTTCAGGCACTGTCCACTCTATGTTCTGCTTTGGATCTTTAATGTCACATGCCTTTTAGTTTGGAGAAAATACCAAAACAATGATTGAAGCTTCTCTTCATAATCAATTTGAGTCACATGAATACACATAACGTCCAAGGGTAATGCGAGGTACCCTTGCAATGCAAAACAGTTTTGAGCGTTGATCTGCAGTTTCGGCTTACCTTCTTCATCTTCGACATACCTTTTTAATCAATACACAAACGAGGATGAGTGTCTTGTTCAGTCTATGGATTTAATTGCATATGGAGATAGATAGAAAGGGAAGTTATTACTCATATACACGGGCTGGGCAGTAACGCGACGCTGGCGCAGCATAATCTGGAAAGTTTACCTTCGCTCGTATAGTCGTATAATGGGATCCCTCGAACGCAAATTAGATTGTTGAGCATGATCATGAATGGTTACTCCTGTTAGCATCATCAAATGAGCCGTGAGCTCCTTCACACGTCTTTTCGACAATAGAATAAAAGGTTTATTAACCTGCCAAACAAAATTTAAGGTTAATATATAAATGAACAATGGTTTAAGACAATTAGTGCTGAATCCAATTAAAATCATCTGAAGAAACAGAACATACATGAACAAAATATCGAAAAGAATCTCAATCTGAGGTTGACGGGTCTTCTTACCTTTGAGACTCGTTGAATCACCAGAAATCATTACATGAACATTCACCGTCTTGAAAATGATGAAACCTGTTTGAATCTCTTAGGATTATCTGTCTCCCTTCGATCTTTGATATATACTTGAAAGCAGAGTGGCAATCACCGCAAACTCTAAGGTTCTTCATTATTCTAATGGGCAAGGTAGAGCTCCTCTGGGTTGTGAGAACAAAAGCTACAGCGAGCTTCTCGCTGTGATAGCTTAGAATCTCTTCCTTGTTCTCTTGCTCTAGATCATACAGGGCGAATCCTGTCTGTGGCACATAACCTGCGTCTCTCATCTTTCTATTGAGATCCTTGAGCTTCTTGTAGATCGAATCAGCATCTGGGTGCGACTTATCCCCAGCAACAAACATGTGGACTCCATCCTTCATAGTGACCCAACTATAACCAGCTTCCTTTTTCACATCTGCATCGTTCATCTTCTTTCTCGCCTTTACCAAATCTTCCCATCTTCCTCCAGCAGCATACATGTTACCAAGTAGCACGTAATTTACAGCGTTTTCTGGCTCCAATTGAAAAAGCATTTCTGCTGCCTTCCTCCCTAATTCTGCTTTTCGACCATTTGCTCTGCAACAAGCTCCAAGTACAGTCCTCCATATGAGAACATTAGGCTTCATTGGCATTTTATCGATGAAATTTTCCAACTTATCGAGTTCACCTGCACGGCCTAGCAAGTCAGCCATACACGAGAAGTGTTCAATCCTAGGAGCTAAGCCATAAGAATCACTCATAGATTCGAAATGTTTAAACCCTTCTTTAACCAAACCCGCGTGACTACAAGCTGACAAGACTCCCACAAATGTAACATGGTCAGGTGGTGTTTGGCCATCGAGCTTCATATTTTCAAAAAACTTCAGAGCTTCTTCTCCTTGCCCATGTCGTGCATAGCCTGAAATCATCGAGTTCCACGAATATGAATTCTTCACAGGCATTGAGTTGAAAAACCTCAATGCATAATCTGGTCTTCCACATTTGGAGTACATGTCAACGAGTGCACTCCCAACAACTACATCAGATTCTAAACAAGCTCTCACCGAACAAGCATGCACTTCCATGCCACGCTCTAGAGTTGCAACCGAAGCAAACGCGCTAAGAACCGTCGCATACATGAAATTATCCAGTCTCTGACCCGTCTGCAGCATAAACCATACCAAGTCCAAGGCCTTGGGAAGGAGCTCGTTATGTATATACCCCGAGATCATCGAGTTCCAAGTTACATCATCTCTTCTCTCTGACATTCTAGAAAATATCTTCTCACACTCCTCCATCTCCTCACATTTCCCATAACAAGCTATAAGCGCATTTTCAATGGTTGCTTCATCTACAATATTGTACTTTAAAGCTAGCGCATGTATCTGCTTGCCCAGTTCCCCAAATGAAAGGGATGACACAGCTGAAAGAACGCTTGAAAAGGTTATTCTGTTCAGTTTTTGTCCTGCTCGTAGCGCATTCAAGAAACATGCCACGGCTTCAGGTAGTAACCCTTCTGAACTAGCTAACGCTCCTATCATGGAATTCCAAGATACCTGATCATGCTCTGGCATGAAGGAAAATATTTTATGGCATTCGTTGAGATAACCGGTCTCTGCATACAGTGCGATAAGCGCATTTGAAACTGAAACATTCAAATCAAGCCCCAATTTGAGGCTTTCTCCATGAATCTGTTGTCCTACTTTTGCCCACTTCAAGCTCGCGCATGAGCTTAGTGAACTAATCAGTGTGAAAGTTCCAGGCAAGATTTCATGCCGTCTCATACTTTGGTAGCGTTCCAAAGCTTCTAAAAAACAGCCGTTTTGGTCAAGACCAGTGATCATGGAATTCCAGGAGACAGAATCTTTCTCCATCATGAAACAGAAAGCACGTCTAGCATGATCTATTGAGCCACACTTAGCATACATATTAACAAGGCCATTTCCAATGCCAACCATGAAGTCAACTAAGCCAGTTGTTATTACATGTCCATGAACCTCTCTGCCTTTTCTCAGACCTACTTCTTCAGCTCGAGAATACTCAGGAAATGAGCTCAGGAGATTTACGTATGACTCAGGACTAATATCTATCATGCTCTTCATATCCATAAAGAGCTTAGTTGCTTCTTCTCCCCATTTTTGACGCACCAGACCAACCATTAGACCGTTTAAAGTGACCGCGTTTCTTGTCTCCATCTGATTAAAAACCTTCCTAGCATAACTTAATGAGCCAGACTTTGCAAATGCACTCACCAGTCCGCTGCCAACGAAAAGATCTGAGAGAAAACCAGATTTCAGGATAGTACACATGATCTGCTCGAGCAAACTAACATCTGGTTCAGTCAAAGAACAAGCAGTAGTTACAAGACTACCGAAAGTGTATTCAGTTGGTCTAGAATGATCACATTGCATACTAGAGAACATCTTAAATGCAGATCTCTGATTTCCAGTCTGTGAATATACAGAAATAATCGAATTCCATGATACAGAATTTTTAACTTGTATGTCATCGAAAGCACGAAGAGCACAACTAAGAGACCCTATGCATTTCCAGTACATTGATATGAGGACATTAGAAACTACTGCATCCACTGCATAAGAAAGTTTGAACATCAGGCCATGAATCTGTCTCCCAAAAAGATTCCCGACAGAATCTAACTCCTGACAAGCTCGAAGCCCACTAGCAAAAGCGTATTGATTCGAAAAAACCCCTTCTTCGATCATATTTCTCAAGAACAATAAAGCTTCCCTATGTTCTCCATTCCGGCTATACCCTGAAACAACACACGCCCATGTAACACAGTTCCTCTGAGTCATTTCGTCAAACACCGTACGTGCAGAGACCGAATCACCCGTTCCAAGATAAGCATTGATGAGATTGTTGCACAAGTACACATCGTTGTCTAACCCATTCTTATACAATCGCAAATGAAGAACTTTAGCTCCTCTATCTCCAACGCAACTCTAAGCAAAAGAAAGAAGAACACTTGGTAATTATCAATCTGCAATCTGAATCAATGAGAGAGACAAACCTGTATTTGTCTCCAATGTGCCACAGGTTCAGAAAAACTTCCAGATATGTTGTGTGCTCCTATAATTCAAACTTCCACAGTTAATGTATATTGACAACGCCAATTTTGCAGGAATCAAAACAGAGACCAAATTACTGCAAGATTAATACTTTTGAGAAAGACAAGAAAAAACTGACCTACTTGTGGTCCTTTCTCAACAAGGCATACTGACGGATCAGTGTTCTTCTCCAGACACAGTTCGTATTCTATCGATTCTCTTCTCGCTTCACTGCTTACACATCTACTCCCATTTACTCTTAAATTCCTCGAATTTGAGCGTAAAGTTCGCGAATTTCGAAACAACTCGGCGGAATTAGTATACCCAAGTCGTGAAACGAATTTACGCATAATCACTGAGTAACAGTGAGCCGGTGGTGCTCTCCTCCGGTGTGTTGAACAAAAAAAGAGCAAAAATGTCTGTGTGTCGTTGTATGGCTTTTTCCTTTTTTGTTTTTAAGGGCTTTTAAAAATTTTCTTTTTCTAATGAGTTATCTTTTGCTCTGTTTTTGGTTCTCTTAAATCACTTTCGTCTACCAATTAATTTTTTTTTTTTTAAGTTTACAATGTCATATGAAGTTGACACTAATGCTTACATACATATTCTACTACAAACTCAAGACAAATATGTTTTCTCGAGTCTCACTTATTTATTGGATATGGTAAAGTGACGAGAGGCTTGTTGATGATTCTTGGGGACTAACTACATGAGGGAATAGCCAGGGCCTCCACTCCCTTCAGGCACTGTCCACTCTATGTTCTGCTTTGGATCTTTAATGTCACATGCCTTTTACATAAGAAAATACCAAAACAACGATATAAGCTTCTCTCCAAAATCAATTAGAGTCGCATGAATACATATTATTAGCACACAAAGTCTACGAGTGATGTGTACCTTGCAGTGCAAACAGTTTTGAGCGTTGATCTGCAGTTTCGGCTTACCCTCTTCATCTTCCACGTACCTTTTTTTAATCATTACACAAACGAGGATGAGTATCTTGTTCAAGGAATTTAATCTATATAGATAAAAATTGCATATGGAGAGAGATAAAGGGAAGTTATTACTCGTATACGCGGGCTGGGCAGTAGCGTGACTCTGGTGCAGCATACTCTGGAAAGTTGACCTTTTCTGGAATCTTGGGATCCCTCAAACGCAAATGGGATGGTTGATCATGATTGTGATTGGTATTACTCCTGTTATCATCATCATTCAAGGTTGAAGCCGCTCGTAAATACCATAGGAGGAGTAGTTTTACATTGTAAAGATATTGTAGTTTGTGTCATGGTACAAACCTGTATAAAGAAGTTGGCACATCAAACGACAAAACACCATCTGGCTTTGGATACTCAATTGGCGTGTATTTCCGAGCAAGCTGCATAAAGACATATCCCGACTTTAGTTGTTTTTTGTGAGTGTGTTCAGTGGACAGTTTTTGATCAGATTATAGTTGCAATAATTAAGGTTTATCCGAGTGCTTGTATTCTTACATCTGTTGCTTCGTGGTCTGCTTTTCCGTGCTTGAGAGTGAAAGGGACCTTTCCTTTCAGTACATAGCTGCATTATCAAACATAAGGAGTTCACATATAGCAAAGAGAAATGATCATACAGAGCACCAGGGAGAAGAAGAGAATCAATGCCGAGGTCTTACTGTTCCATAGCACTTACGGCCAAGCCAGGGATTAGCCCATACTCGAATGCCTGCAAGGATATAAGATTAAGTTCGTATCTTCGAGGAAAAATCAATTAGATAGAAAACCATATGCACTGATATATGTTCGTGAAATTACGAACAGGACGGTAGTTTCGAGCTGCGTAGAGCTCCTTCCACACCCATGAATCCTTCAGGTTATCCCAGTATGTGTTCATGTTTAAACCTTCATGAAGTGCACCAAATGTAGCCTCTGCTGCTAACATTCCTGTAAGAAATTGATAAGATTATAATGAGAATTCTATAATCGGACAATGAAAAAACCAACAGTATTTTATCAAAGATAAACTGTGACCTGATTTCATTGCTGTATGTGTTCCCTTAATCTTGGGTACATTGAGAAAACCAGCTGAACATCCAATTATTGCTCCTCCAGGGAAAACTGGATATGGAATGGACTGAAATTTTACTAGCATCAAGTTCAAATATGTCATAACATGCCAAACAAATTATATCTTACTATTTATGTCATAAAAGGGTTAACTAAATTAGATACTCTATTCATGACGATATCCAGAAATCGTATTTCCGAGTCAATAAAACAGAACTGCGTATATACATGCTCTTGAAAATGGACTATACCAAAAATGGAAAAAAATTCTGCTTTCAAAGAATCAACGCATCAGTTATATCTAAGGGGTGAATTTCGACTCACCTGAAAACCACCTTCGTTTAATGTACGAGCTCCATACTGAAGCACAGTACCACCTTCCAAGATGCGTTTAATGGCAGGATGGTGTTTGAGTTTCTATTTGGAGGATGAAATGATATTATTCATCAAACTTCTTAATTTTAAATTAGCTTCTAAGAAAAGTATTTGTAGTCTTATCATTATGAGAAATTGACATACCTGAAATTCCTCATAGGGATTCAAGTAAGGGTTATGATAATTCAAGGCAACCACCAAGCCAAGTGCAACCTGTTTGGTCGAAAAGAAAACTCCAACTGAGCTATCAAAATTGAAAGGTAAGTTTTGGAATTGATTTAAGAAACCAGTGGAAGGAGGTAAGACAATATTTTCTCAACCGTACCAAAGGATCTTCCAAGGGAGAAATGAGTTACCTGTCTATCTTTCATGTGGTACAAGAAAGAACCTCCGTATGTCTTGGGATCCAAGGGCCAGCCCAATGTGTGAATAACTTCTCCGGGGTTATGCTTGCTTTCATCTATCTCCCAGACCTGTTGAGCCCACAGTATCAGCAACTAAAATGACCAATGACCAATAGTACCAAATTATTGTAGTATCAAACATAGATACAAGTTACAACTAGATCAAGGATAAAAGTAGTTACCTCCTTAATTCCCAAAGCATATGTCTGATGTTGTGCATTAACCTCCTCTCTTAATTTATACTTTTTGATTATTTTCTGCAGAAATTAAAGTAAGAAATTAGTTTAGCATCAGCATTAGATGCAGGCAAATCGCGTGTAACTTGTAATCAAAACGCATCTTCTGACCTCGGACAACGATCCTCTGCATCCCTCAGCAAATAGTGTAACTCGCCCTGTGTATTGAAAGCACGTATCTTAGTACAAGAGAAGCCTATAGATGATGAGAAGAGAGAGAGACCTTTTATGTCTACACCTGGCTGGAAAGTCTCCTTCTTAGAACCATCTTTGGATATTCCCATATCTTTGGTTGCAATCCCAGCAACTTTATCACCTGCATCGTACAACACCTGAAAAGAAAGACCGCTATGTAAAACATCAAATGGTTTCAAGAATAAAAAAACACACGTAGAAACACAAGATTACCTCACTAGCAGAAAAACCAGGATATATCTCTATTCCAAGCTCCTCAGCTTTTCCTCCTAGCCATCGCACCAGTTGGCTCAAACTGTATATACAAAGCACCACCAAATGCTAAACATCTCAAATGAAACTTGACCATGGACATAAACAGTCGCAAGAATGGTCATTCTACACGTACCTAATAACGTAGTTTCCCTTGTTATCAAACGGAGAAGGAAGTGAAATTGCACGATCTTTCGTCAAAAACCAGAATTTATCAGAAGAAGCAGGGATCTCAATGGGTGTCTACAAACAGACAGAGCAAGAAACAACAAGGATATGAATAATTTGCCTTTCAAAACTCTAAGCATTGATAGATACAACAAACCTGTTCTTGTCTCCAATGTGGAAGAAGTTCATCTAATGCAACAGGTTCAAAAACATTTCCAGAAATTATGTGTGCTCCTATTTCACATGACAACACCAATTTCAAGAATCAAATATAAATACAGAGACCAGATAGCTGCAAGACACTGACCTACTTCTGCTCCTTTCTCAACGACACACACAGATAGATCAGTGTTCTTCTCTTGACACAATTGTTTCAATCGTATAGCAGCAGATAAACCGGCCGGTCCAGCTCCGATTATCACAACATCGTACTCAATCGACTCTCTTCCAGATTCACTGCTTATACATCTACTACCCCCATTCACTCCTAAATTCGTCGAATTTGAGCTTAAAGTTTGCGAATTTCGAAACGAATCGACGGAATAAGAATACCCAAATCGAGGAACGAATCGATTCGACGAGTTCGAGGGGATTGGAGGAGACCCAGAAACGGTAAAAGGATTTGAAGAAGCTAATAGAGGGAGAATCAGACGCTGATTCTTGGAGTTTCTTAATGGATTCGAAGAAGATAGCTTTACAAGGAATCTATGCATGATCACTGAGTAATTAGAATGATCGAGTGATGATTAAGGAACAATGAATCATTTGTATAACCAAGAAAAGAAAGCTGCGTGCACGATTTGAATTGACTCGGCAGTGATGTGTCAATCTCATTACTCTCTCTAATTAATCGTACCAAACATTTTTAATATGCGACTATTATGAATCTCTAATGTCTAAAGCTAATAGTATATGGTTTTCGCCGTAATTTTGATTTTGATTATAACTTCCAAGTTGAATAAACCCATGGAAAATGAAGAAATCTCCGGAAAATTAAACAAACAATGGAGAGACAAAAAACCATAAGAAACACACACCAAATTATATATATAAAAAAAAAACTAAAGAATCTTGACACTAAACTGAAAAAAGTTGGGCTCAACTCGGATTTATATATTTGTATCGAGTTATATATTGTCGAATTCCAGGCATTGCATAAACTTGTTGATGCTCCGGCAAGGAGATTAGCCGCTCAAATTGGAATTTTATTGGATTTCGCTATTGTTCTTCTCGTGTCTTTTCAATTGGTAAATCTTCTTTCACCTTTTCAATTGGCGTGACAGTGTAGATATTTCTGTTTCTTCTTTCTCTCTTAGTGATGAACTTTGGATAGTTGAAAACTGGAATACTCGTAGGGATGATCTAATCACTAGATCCGGAATTGTCGTTGATTGCGTTTTTGAATCCCTAGTGGTTAGTTGATGGTTTAATACTTCTTTATATGTATTTATTGAGACAACATTTCGTGATAACTAGTAAGCCTTTTTTTAGGTCTCTTGTGCTTATTGCAATCGTCTAAAGAAAACAATGTAAGAATTGACTTTAAACGTTTTCAATAGTTTCATATGTTTATGTCATATTAATATGTAGATTCATTCTCTCTTTAATGAAATGCCAATCGCTAATCTAGACTCATCTCCTAATGCCAATCTTTGCTCTGGAATCAGACATGTCAAAGGTAATATAATCATGTTCGAGTTTCAATTTTTGGAATCTAAGTTCTTGGTTCTTGTAGGTGTTGTTGTGTTTGTCATGAGTAACAAGTGGAGAGTGTTTTTCACTCTCATAATGCTTAGTGTTGGTAGCGTGATAAAAGGTATTTTCTATTGTACACACATTGTTCGTTGATTATTTGATTGTATTCTTATTGTGTGTTTTGAAAATTGTAGATTGTTTTGATGTACTTCTTGTACAAACTACTTTTTACCGATTCTGTGCTCGCCGCAATGGGTAAGATTTTTATAATTTTCATGATTATGTTTGTATGATAATATATTGTCTTGGAACATAACTTTTGTTTGCTGATTTTGCAGCTCTGTCTTCTGCTGCAACCGCTATCATGATTTTCATGTCTATTGCAAGCATCATCCGTCGCGGTTTACGGTTTGTATTCAGGAGAGCTTAAGCACTTTCTATTGAGTTGGATATAATCCTTACTTCTTTGCTATCTATGCTTGAACATTGGTCTGTGTGGAAGCCAATTACTCTTAGTTTGCAATAAAAAAAAAACTGTTCATGCTGTTTGTTGACTGTTGTATACCTTTTGGCAAGGGGATTCATATTGTTGTGTATATGTTAACATTCAGCTTGAAATTTCTTTTAATACAAAACAAATGAGAAGAGGCGAGAATCTTGATAATCACTATACAAAGTAGATGAATAAAC